AGGCCTTAAAGCAATGGTGAAGAATGTTTTTGAAATTCTAAAATACAGTAAAGTAGATAGAATGTCTTAAGTAAAAGAAGAGGTTGAGCGTATAAGGATTCCATTGGAGAGCAATAGGGAATGGTAGCTTTATCAAAACCACTAATCATTATGAAAGTGACTTTGGCCATTGATATTTTTATCTTTTTAATAAATCAAATTCACCATTTTTTCATATATCTATACTTCATTGAATCTAATGTTCTAACTCCTTGATCATTTTCATATTTCTTTCTAGCTAATTAATTGTATGCTTTTGAGACAATTCTTCAAACATCCAAAAGGCAATGGTATCCTTAAAGTGATCTCACATTACTTACTTTACTTAAAAGATAAGGATAGAACTCTACAGCACAAACACCGGAGTCATCATAAATTCAACTATCAATCTCCCAAGTTACTAACACCCGTTCAGCCCTTAATGTATGATTTCTTTCCATCGATCTCATTGCATTACTGCAAGCTACATTTGGTTTAGCTTCATTTACATATATCTATGTACTTCGACAACTATTTCTGTACATTTTCATATACATATACACAAATGTTTGCATATGTACGTATATATATATATAATAACATTGAGGAGTTAAGAACATGAAACAATATGTGTAGACAGGTATGCGGTTTGGCTTTTTGAAGATTTAATGTGTGAGTGAATGGAGCAAAACAAGCAGGAACGACGTTCTAATTGTAATTAGCATTAATATGTACATTGTTGGTTGACAATCTTTTTTTAAAAAAATATTTTTTAAAATATTAGTATCTAACTCGAAAAATCCAACAAATTATAGTAGTTATAATTAATTTTCTTATTCAACTTATTATAATATTGATTGAATTTATGATTAAAGTACGAAGTTTTATGTAATTATAAATAATTTTATTATGCCTACATTATCAATGTTTTACCAAAATTAACTTTATTAATTAAATAACATATAAACATTAAGTATATTACGATTTTTTTTTTAATAAGGAAACATAAAAATGCTCATGCTGACCGAAATGTAAAAAGTATTAACTAATAGAATAAAAAATAATTAGTAGATAATTAATATTCATCTAAAAATTGTTACTACAACCCTATGGAGGTACATGCATTAAGTGCTACAGATTTAATTTTAATTAGGAATTTTTTACTGGCAATTCGCTTTTGTAGTTTAGTTTTTTTTTTTTTTGAAAAATTTATATACACTTGGAGACAATTGCATCTGTTATATTTTATTTAATTTAATTGTTTATATTCTAAATTTGTATATGTAATTTATAACATTTACTTTAAAAAAAAAAGCACTTAATTACATTTAATTTTTATAAACACTAGTTGTTATTACTGCCTTTACACATATTTATAGTTCGTACCTAAACTTTTCTGAACGATAGAATAAGACCCTTTACTGCTTTACAATTTTGTACAATACAGGTTTTGAAGCAGGGATGAGTGATCTAGTTGAGCAAGCAATTTTGATATGGACACGTCTTGTAGGCTTTAATATGTTTAGATTTGAAATGGGGTTTCTGACCTCTTTAAAATCATATATATACGTACGTGTAAA